GGCTCAGAGCCTGGAGCCTGTTTCCGATTCTGTGTCTCCCTTTCTCTCTGCCCCTCCCCCGTTCATGCTCTGTCTCGCTCTGTCCCAAAAATAAATAAACATTGAAAAAAAAAAATTAAAAAAAAAAAAAAAAAGAAAATGCGAACCTCGGGGCACCTGGATGGCTCGGTCAGTTAAGCATCCAACTCTGGCTCAGGTCCTGAGCTCAGAGTTCATGAGTTCGAGCCCCACATGGGTCTCTGTGCTGACAGCTTGGAGCCTGGAGCCCCCTTCGAATTCTGTGTCTCCCTCTGTCTCTCTACCCCTCCCCCGCTCACGCTCTCAAAAATAACTTAAAAAAAATTTTTTTTAAAAGAAAGAAAATGAGAACTTTAAAGAGCTATTCCCTACTTGCTTCCCACCTGACACTACTTCTTTAAGTCAGCGGGTAAAAAGTCTGAAATCTAATAAACTATGTTGGGGGTGAGGAAAAGGAAACCAGAGGTTGAGTTTTAATAGTTGTTTTGGAGGTTTTTTCCGGTGAAGATAATCTGTATATCTTTAATATAATTAAATTTACTGAATTTTAGAATATACATATATATATATATATATTTTAAATAAAACTTTGTCCTCAGGAAGGCTGGTCTCTGACAAAAAAGGCTGACAGAGTGGAAAGACAGAATAAAAGAAAAAAATCTCTACTCTCAACAAAGTATACATTATGATGACATATTTAAATGATTTTCATTATGATAAAATTAAATATGATTCACAGCTTTAAGATCCACTAAACTCATATTTAAACATAAACAAATGAACACATTCATTCCAGCGAAACATAAGTTATTTCTGATTTCTCCCTGGCACAGTTTCTTCCATTGCTTTCAGTGCCAGTTCCAAGACATGGAAGAAAAAGCCAAGATGACCTTTAGTGGACAAGTCCATCCACTGGTCTGTATAGCTCACATGAAAGGACATTTTAATACAGAATGAAATGTACAAAGGCACAAAAGATAGAAGAGGTGAAACTTATCAAAGAAATAAATGACCTCTGAAGATAAAGAGTCATTTGATAAGGATGCCACCACTGTTGAAAGTGGACTCCCAACATCGACAGGAAGGATGCTGGACACACTAGGTGGAAACTACAAAAGATGATGGGGATATCTGACCTGCTCTCAGCTGCAGCATAATGGAAAAAGACATGCAGTCTAAGGTTAAGATGCTGTCACACAATACAGAGAAGCGGAGATACTCTAGAAAAACTCATGTGATGAACTCATAAAATTTACAGAAGAGAAACAAGGGATAACAGTGTTTCTATAACCGAACAGAATACAACTAACTACTGGCCTCAATTACACTGCCTCTATTCTTAAGAACTATTACATATAAACCACTCCAGATCTTTTGTCCTATTTTTGACTCCCTACTCCTCAAATAAGCCCCAAACTAACAGATGACTAGATGGGCATAAATAAGGTTGAGGCAGTAAAGTATTGGTCGTTACGAGTAATACACTATTGGGGCACCTGGGTGGCTCAGTCGGTCCAGCATCTGACTTCATTTTTGGCTCAGGTCATAATCTCATGCATTTGTAGATTCGAGCCCCACGTTGGGCTCCACCCTGACAGTGCAGAGCCTGCTTGGATTTATCTCTGCCCTCCCCCAACAGTGTCAATAAATAAACTTAAAAAAAAAAAAAAAAAGTAATACACTATAAGCTAAACACTTAGGTCTGAATCATGGCCATGCCACTTACTAGTGACTATCGACTGGTCAGTTACTTAGCCTCTCTGTGCTGCAGTAATTGTACCTAACTACCTCAACAGGGTTGTTACAAGGATTAAATTAGTTAGAAAAAGTGCTTCGAATACTGTCTTGACAGAGCTTACAATGGCACAGATGGCGATGATGATACACTGTCAAAACTAAACATTTTTTTTAAACTCTCCTCAAATCCATGTATGAATCACTTTCCAAGTTTTAAAAACATGAACTCCTATATTCCTCCAAACAAACTGAAGAAACAAATATTCTTATTCCCATTTTATAAATAGGTTCTACAGAAAATCTAAGAAACTAACCAGGGTACAGTAGCCTGGCACTAAAATATACAAGGAGATTCTAATTTGCTCTGCAAAACTGTTTCCCTATAAGATATTTTGTTGGATTTTATATAGCAATTACTAGAAGTTAAACTGGGAAACAAGTACATTATCAAGTCAAATATTAAAAAACTAAAAATCACTTAACATATACATATAAAATATGATTTACACATTAAATCACTTTTTATATATTTATTTGTACAGAATCGCTTAAAATATTAGAAACACAGTAAAAATTTGGTGAAGGAAAAAGTATTTAAAAATAGTATTAACAGCAGCAGCTGTCCTTTATTAATTTTCCCACAAACTAGGCAGTTACGTGAGCACTTAATACACATGATCTCATGTAATCCTATGAAATAATCACTACGGTTGTCTCACTGTACAGATGAGGAAACTCCGGTTTGGAAGGTATTAAGTAATTTGACAGAAGTTACACAGCTGAAAAGAGAAGGAGTGGATGCCCAATGCCAGGTCTACAGGACGCCAAAACCTCGCCCTTTGACTAAGGCAATGCACTCCTCATGCCACTAGGGCAGGACACACTTTCCCGAGCCACAGAGTGAAACCCATGATCGTCAAGACAGTGGAAGAAACACCACACTTTTAAAACACACAATGTATTTTATTTAGTCCTCTAGTCTATATACTGTCAAATGCAGCAAAGTTCACGCACTATCAGAACTACTACTTAGTTAAGGGGCGTCCTCTACAGTCTTAAAATCAGAAGGTAAGCAACTCTTTTTAAATTCTCTGCAACACCAAAAGTGAGTCTCAAAACACTATTCCAAATCACTCTAAACATATGAAATCGTGGTAGTGACTTGAAATAATGGAAATGGTATTTTTCATTGTGTCGACAGATGTTATCTCCCTACCCTGCCCATCTATACTAGTATAAATCAAGTAATTATAGGAGCATGTCTACATCAAGCAAGAAAATGGGTTTAAATGTGCTAGTTCAAAATGAACAAGTAAATGAAATTAAAGACACTAATTACAACAGTTCTTCAAAAGGCTCACAAAATTATCACTTAGAATGAAAAAGTAAGTTTTATATTACCCATAAAACTGCATTTAAAATTTCTAAATACATCCTATCAAAATATCCATAACACATTAAACAGTAGTACAATTTATATACCGAAAGTTTTTGCATTAAAATTTTTTATTGAAAAAATCAAATTAAATTCCATCATTTAAAGAATTTCTGTACTTTACAAAAGATTTCCAAAAGTCAACTTACACCTCAACTAATACTATAGTACAAAAATAGGTGGCTTATGGAATCAGAAAACATAGATAGTTCCTTAAAATCTATGCTAAAGGGATCTGAGTTACATTCTACATGGCCTACATTTCCCTTTCCCAAAGTGTATTCTCAAGAATTTTAACCAGTATGGAACAACTTTCATAACACAATTTTTAAACAAAATTTTGCATTGTTTATACATTTTTCAAATACACTGACACTTTTAAACCATAATGAATATACTGTATGTAAATCAAAAATCTTGGAAAATTCAAAAGCTGAAAGAAGCTGAAAACTCACCAAAGTTCTACCATTTAGGAGCAATTACTATACACATATATTGCTCTAGCTTTTTTAAAGATAATTTTTGTTTTGTTTTGCAAAGTTGCAGTCACATTACATGTATAATTTTATGTGACTCGTTTCTCTACTCAGAATATGATCAGATTCTCAAGTTTATAAATGTTTTGAAATATTACATTTAATGATTATATATTATTTGAGAAGAATGTACCACAGTTAACTTCCATACCAAAATTCTCTATTATCACACTTTTGTGTAGATCTACTATCGGAAGCTTATAAGAACACATTTTACTATTCCTCTACTGGCAGAGCAGTAATTTTTAAAAAACCAAAAACTATCTTTACATATTAAAACTGTATGTTTCTAAAAGATTTGTTTTTAATGTTTTGAGTTACTAGTGTTTAGTTTGAGCTACTAATTAACACAAGTTTCTTTTGTGTTTGTTATATTTCCTCTTATTACTTTTACCCATTTATCTTTTGAAATCTTTGGGTTTCTTAGCAATTTGTCTCCTTAAAATATAAGATATATTTTATACATAAAATTACATAAAATATAATATTTTATGAAAATATAAAGATAGAAAGCCTCGGCCCTATTTACTGAAAAAACTTCCTCCAGTTTGTTACTTTTAACGCTGTTCTTTTTTTCCTGTTAATTTTGAGAAATTTAAACTTTCATATATTAAAATGTATTTTCCGTCTAATTTCTTATATACCTAATAAATTCTGGCCATCTCCTACCATCTAGAAGTGTGGTAAGTATTCACTTATATATTCATCCAGCTTTAATGATTTGATCTTTTGCTTTAAAATTAGGATGTTCTTTTATTTCAAAAGTTCTTTCAATAAAATGTTCTTTTATTTCAAAAGTAAAGCAAAAATTTTAAGGAAAAAAAATGCAAAACATACACAACAACATAGCTTAAAGATCAAGTTCTAACCAAGAGGTAACCCCTGCTTGGGGTACACTTTTTTTCTATCCATGTATAAAACACGACAGGAGTGTCAGTAACTTGTACTGACATTTCATTTCTTTCCCTCCTGATGTTTTAGCTCCCCCCTAACAAGGCCTGGAGAATGCTAGACTATACTAGTAGTGATCCTGAATGTCCAAGAAGAGATACAGTGCATTCACCCAAGATTCCCAAGTAACTAATTACTTAGTTACAGAATTCTTTATTCAAGTAATGATAGTTAGAGGAGACCTGGCAATTTTTGACATACTATTTTTAAAATGCTGACTTGGCTTTATTTTATTCACTTCAGACAATGCAAAACTGGGATGTTTTTTATGAATATAAAGTATGCAAGTCAATTGTTAAAAGAATGAAAGACAACAAACTTACTTGGGATACACTGGTTCATAAAGGTACTTGTCCCCTCTTGTAGATGTAATATGAAAAAACAAGATGTAGCCATATGCAGTCTGAAAGATAAATTTTATTTGCCATGAATTAAAGGATAAGGCTATGACTAAAACCTTGTATTTCATTTTTATATATTCTTACTTTGAAAACACTTCACTCTTGGGAACCCTCTTCTGAAGAGCTATAGTCTAACTATCCAATTAAAACAAAAAGACTTTAATACAACCCATCTTGTTTAACATAACCCATGAAGAGTTTTTATAATATTTCATAGATGTCACTGAAATCAACAGTTCATACTATGTTGTAGACATTAATACTCTAAAATTAAATTATACTATTCAATAGCAGATGATTATTTTGCAAAATATACAGACCTTTTTGAACTCAGCAACATGGCAACTAATTTTTCTAATTTTTAAAGCAACAATGTCACCAAATAACAACAGTAGAAAATCCTTCACTCAACTCAAAGTTTACACAACATAACTTCAAAATGACATATTTACCTATTTCAAAATCAATCGACTGGCTTCTGATTTGCTATAAAATATACCAAGACACAGAAGAAAAACAGAGCAAATCTTCAGTTTCCAAATTTGAAGATCAGTTAATTTTTCTAAGTTAACAAAACGGTATTAAAATATAAATTGTATTAAAACATTGTCTGATTATGGCACACATCTGTGAATTGTGAAGCTCAAACAACCACTACACATTTAAGTGTACAAAAATACTGTTTCTAACCATTTTCAGGCCTGAGTAAAGTGGCAACTGCTTGGACCCAACTACTACATGCTAATACTGAACTTTTTTTTTTATGTTTTTATTTATTTTTGAAGGAGAGACAGCAAGAGAGAGACACAGCATGAGTGGGGGAGGAGCAGAGAGAGAGGGAGACACAGAATCCGAAGCGGGCTCCAGGCTCTGAGCCATTAGCACAGAGCCCAGTGCGAGGCTCGAACTCACGAACGGTGAGGTCATGACCTGAGCTGAAGTTGGATGCTTAACTGACTGACTCAGCCACCCAGGCGCCCCAATATTGAACTCTTTATCATTTTAGAAGCAGGTGGGCTTTTACCCAAAGTAGAACAAAGAAAACTGAAAAAAAAATTATCCAAGTTTTCAAATTTTTTTCCAGTACTTGCTGCTGTTCTTCACTTAAAGGAACACCAGAGGAAAAACAATTTCTTCAGCAATGTGTTCTGTTTTATTTTTAAGCTATGAACTTTCCTATTTCATAATACATACCAAAAGTCTAGAGTTCAATATATTGGGACACAAAAGAAAAGAGGCTGAGATCATCCTAGTTCCTCATGGGCAATTTTACATTCAAATGTGCAGAATATGGGATCAAAGGAAAACAGATTCAAATAAAACTACATCAGACATCATAACCCCCACACAGATCAGTAATTCTTTAAAATTTGTAAGCTCTACTACTACCTTATATGGACTAGAAAAGTAAAATAATTTGGGTCTAGCACTGAGATGAATAACATGCAAATGCTGTCTGGAGTATCAGTCACTCAAGGTCAGAAGTTCAACATTTCAGAATATCAAATGCTAATAATATACTTGGAATTTTAACAAGTGCTTAGGAGACTATAATGCCAGGGAAAAATATAGCATCATTTGCAACAGCATTTAGAAAATTTTATAGATGTGATATACTAGATGAAATTATAAATGGCTTGATTTACTCTTCTAGTATTCTGTATCAATCTTACCAAGTATCTATAGCTTCGCATGTATATTAAATGCTATATAGTTCCAGATCTCACTGACCTTTTCTTTAACAGTCTTCCTTTGAACAAGTTCTGCCTTTGAACAATCTAAAAAGTTCTGGTAATAAATGATCATCCTTAAAAAGTAGCATCTTCATTGTAAACTATACCCAATCTGTTATTATGCAGTATTATGATGGCCTTTCTCTTCCCACCTTCAAAATACTGCCAATGAGCATACAACTGCTTAATCTATAGGCAACAGTCCCAATATCTACTTACAGTACGGATACACATTCTCTTTCACTCTCACACACACACACGTTTCTTTCTTTCTCTCTCTCTCTCTCTCTCTCTCTCTCTCTCACACACACACACACACACACACACACACACACACACACACGATGCACGAACTAATTTTTTCTAAGAAAATGAAAAGACAAAATAAAGAAACTCGGACTTCTCTTTCCTGGTATCATCCCATATCTTTTTTTTTTCTTCTTTCTCCAAGGCACACTACTGGATTCTGTGGTTGTCATTACAGAGGCCGAACAATTTTTGTAGGCAACGTGAATGGCAAGTCCTCAAGTCTCTTTCTTTAGTATACCCAGGAATAAGGGTCACAGATACATAAGAATAAAGGCTATCAAGAGGATAAAAGAAAGAAGTCACTACTTAAGTGGAGAATGGAACAGACTTGTATCTAATAACGCCACTTAAAAGAACTGGAAACAATTTCAAAGGATATTAACAATGCATCAAAAATTCAGTCAGTATGAACCTTCAGTCAGAGAAGTATCATCTTCTTTTTTCAATTGCAAACTGTAAATGGAGATTTGAAAAGCTCTGCAAACAACCTCAGATAATTCCACAGTTTAAGAGAAGAGTGTGAAATCTGGAGGTGGCAGTGTGGTTGATGCCATCACCATTATTAATTGCTTGTTTGTATTTTGCTTTGTCTGTCATTGCTTTGTTGGGCATTTGGGAAATTTTCCCCTTGCTATTTACAATTAAAAATATTTTAAAAATTATTTTATGACTGCATGACATAAATAAAAGTAATTTTATATTTTAAATCCAACTGCATCATGATACAAATCAACTGTTAGATACAACTAATGCTTCACCTGCAGGAAGCAATTCCAATACCTTCCTCTACTATCCAATGCCTCTACTGGACATGAATTCACCACATGCTTCAGAATTCAAGTCATTGCGCAATTCTTCCTTAGGACATACCACTTTTATCATGAAGAATAGGACAGATTCATGCATCTAGCTCCAATGATGCATCACAAAGATTTCTATGATAATTAAGAGATAAGGATTTGATGATTTTAGAGATGTATCTTCTATCCCAACATCTGTCATGTTAGGCTTCAAATAAGGCTGAACTAACAGAGTAGCACTTTTCAATTCTTTACATCGGTTTGTAAACATTGTTTACTGTTTTTAGATTAATTATACATGTTCAAATACATAAAATTAATCACCCAAATCCTACCACAAAGAATAATTACCTAACATTTCTGTATAATCTTTCAGACTCTATACATTCAGATACATGAATCTATTTAAATGGGAAATGATTAAAAACAGCTATATAGATCAATCACACACACTCAAAAATCGGTGACGACTCTTTTGACATGAAGTCATCAAAAATTATCCCTAATATATACTTACTACCACGCTTTTATAAAAGAGCACTAATTAAAAAAAAAAAAAAAAGTCTTCTGCTTCCAACCAGGATGGTTTAAACTGAAGCCAATTTATGCTCTCATCTGAAAACAAAACAAAAACCTGGACAAAATAGAAGAATGGTTTTTGAAACACCAACATGAAGCAATGAAGGCCAGGGATCCCTGAGAGGTGAAAAACTGATAGGAGTCCTGTAATTGCCCCAGCTTACTCCCTTGGGAAAGTTTCCAGGGCACAGCAGTGAGAAGAGAAGTAAGGCAGAGCCTGGCAGACTCCCTGACTTGAGGAATGAAGCTGAGAGCCCAAGAGGAACAAGGCAAACAATGTATACAGAAGAGTACCAGACAGGAGAGAGCTGTGCACAGACAAAATCCAAGAGTACCACACACATGCACGTGAGGAAACTACTCGAGGTAGGAGAGAACATAACCAAAAGGATTAGTCAGTAAAGAAAATGTGTATGGTGCTCAAACAGTCCTGAGAACAGTGCCTGTCCCACAGACTGAAGAACTCCTAATTCACAGGGAAGAACATAATTCACAGACCGAAGAACTCATAATTCACAGGGAATTGACTAGAACACTCAGGGATGTGGTCCTCAGGTATTCCTGTGGCAATCCTAGAAAGGTATTCCCTTAGTAGTAGGGGATAATTACCTTTAGATTGAGCACTGTTCAAAACCCGCATTACGAAGCATAAAATAAGACACGGACATATACTCTCTCCAAGTAATCAATACTTCATCCCAGACCAAAACTTGATTTATAGGACCACAAAAATATCCAGCACATAACAAAGTAAAAAATCAAAGTCTGACGACCAATCAAAGATTACCACATATGCAGATCAGCAGAAAAACAAGAGACACAATGAGAAGAAAAAACAACCAATCAAGAATGATCCAGAATTCAATTAAATGTGAGAATTAGTAGAGGGGCATCAAAACAGTTATAACTAGGGGCGCCTGGGTGGCGCAGTCGGTTAGGCGTCCGACTTCAGCCAGGTCACGATCTCGCGGTCCGTGAGTTCGAGCCCCGCATCGGGCTCTGGGCTGACAGCTCAGAGCCTGGAGCCTGTTTCGGATTCTGTGTCTCCCTCTCTCTCTGCCCCTCCCCCGTTCATGCTCTCTCTCTGTCCCAAAAATAAATAAATGTTGAAAAAAAAAAAAAACAGTTATAACTATATTCCACATGTTCAAAAGGCTAGGGAATATAGAAACCATATTTGAGAGATAAAAAATAAAACATGAGACTAAAAATATACTGGATATGAATACAGAAACCATATGTGAGAGATAAAAACTAAAATATGAGGCTAAAAATACATTGGATATGACTAACTTGCAAGAAAAATTCACTGATCATAAAAGCATAGCAGTAAAGATTATCCAAATGAAACACAAACAAACCCAAAATAAAACTGAAAGAGCACTGGTGAACTGTGGGACAACTTCAAGTGGCCTAATCTACAAGTAAACAGAGTCCCCAAGGGTACGGATAGAAGTCAGAAAAAGCAGTTGCATTTATTTAATCCAAATTTTATTTGTTTCAGTTACACTTCTTCAAAAAGTAACTCCATTTTCAACAAGAACAAGACCAATCTATGTTGTGGTTTTACCATATGCAAAA